ACCAACTTAGATGACCTCTGCTCTGACCACTCATCGGTTCTCCTCACAATCGACACTATGCCACCAAACAAACCAAGTAAACCTACTTTAACTCAAGGCGCTATAGACTGGGTAACCTTCAGATCCTCCCTCGAGAACAAAATAAACCTCAACATAAGTTTAAAATCCCCCAATGATATTGACAAAGCAGTTAACTTCCTCACAAAATCCATACAAGAAACGGCATGGTCCTGTTCTTCCCCTCCCACTCCTAAAAGCACCACCAAAAACCTCCCCCTCTATACCAGATCCTTAATAGCGGAGAAACGAAAAGCCCGAGCCACCTGGCAGAGAACAAGATTTCCATCCGACAAACGTGTTTTCAATAATCTCACGAATAAACTCAAAAGGCACCTTGCCCAAATTAGATCCGAAAACTTCATTAAATATCTAATAGGTCTCTCCTCAAGGGACAATTCACTTTGGCAAACGACCAGAAAAATACTTCGTAGTCAACCCACAGTTCCGCCCTTGAGAAAAGCAGATGGAACATGGGCAATAAACGACATAGAAAAATCAAATATATTCCGTCACCATCTGGACTCTACATTCAAACCGCACGCCGATATTCTATCCACTACCCAAATTCACAAAATAAATCACTTTCTACTCTGTCCATTGCCAATGAGTCTCCCTCCAAAACACATACGACCAAGCGAAGTTAAATATACTATAGAAAAATCTGCTTGAAAGAAAACCCCAGGCTTCGACCTAATAACCGCTGAAGTAGCTTCCAAACTACCCAAAAAAGTCATACTTTTATTAACTCATATATACAATTCTATGATAAGACTAACTTACTTCCCTGCTCTATGGAAATTTTCAATAATAGTGATGATACCAAAACCGAACAAACCTCCTGATACCCCCAGTTCCTATAGACCTATTAGCTTACTCCCACTCTTCTCGAAAATTTTCGAAAAACTTATCTTAAAACGTATTATTCCAACTATTGAATCAAATACTCCAAATAATCAATTTGGCTTCCGTACAAACCATAACACCATACACCAAATCCACCGCTTAGTAGACAAAATCTCATTCTCTCTGGAAAAAAAACAAATATGTACAGCCGCATTCCTAGACATGGCCCAGGCCTTTGATAAAGTGTGGCACCAAGGCCTCCTTTTCAAACTGAAATCCATATTCCCTCCCTACTACTATCTATTATTCAAATCATACCTCGAAGACAGGAACTTTGCTGTACGCTCTGGTTCAGCCTTATCTGAAATAAATCCCATCCACGCTGGAGTTCCCCAAGGCGCCGTAGTAGCCCCACTCTTATTCAACCTATACATCTCCGACCAACCAACAACCAACCATACGATCACAGGTGACTTTGCCGATGACAAAGCTATTATGGCGCTTAACTCAGACCCTGAAATAGCCTCCAACCACGTTCAAGTCCATTTAAATCTCCTCCAAAACTGGTACAGAGATTGGGGGATAAAAATAAACGAATCAAAATCAGCCCACTGCACATTCACTCTAAGGCCTAGAAACTGCCCTACCATAACCCTCAATAACATACCCATTCCACCCACACAAAATGTCCGGTACCTTGGACTCCACCTGGATCGTCGATTGACCTGGGCCCACCACATCCATACCAAACGTATTGCCTTGAATAACCGATCCCATCAGCTACGTCTACTCTTTACATCTAAACACATCAATCTGAACAACAAAATACTTATATATAAACTGCTACTAAAGCCCGTATGGTCATATGGTATACAACTTTGGGGTTCAGCCAAACCATCTAACATAAATAAAATTCAAATATTCCAATCTAAATGCCTTCGACAAATTACCAAAGCCCCCTTTTACGTCTCAAACGATACACTCCACAAGGACCTGTCTATTCCAACAGTTCAACTCGTAGCCAAAACTCTGTATAAACGATTCCACTCAAATCTCTCCAACCACCGTAATCCTCTAATCTCAAACTTATCCACCCCCAGCATTCCAGGTGACCCTGGACGACGTTTGAAACGAAAATGGTGTCGGGACCTCCTGATTGAATAAAACCCATCCGCAACTCCAAAGAAGTCCCATCACTGGATGGGTTCTTCGCTCAAGTCTTCAGTCTTCTTATATAAATTTACTACAACACTTACACTTATTGTAAAAATAATATATTTACAGATTGTGTAATAAAACAAATAAAAAAAAAAAAAAAAGTTTCATACTTTAAGGGGTGCTGTACATTAGGTGAAGTAATAGGTTTTTTACTATGATTGCTATGCATGCCATTAGGTTGTGAAGGAGAAAGCTTAGCCTGCAAGATAACTTGAGCACTATTTATCATTAGGTTACGTCATCGCTGTACAAGTTCCTTTGCACATTTGGTCAATTGTTTGTCCAAAGTTTTACGTTGTAATTATTTTACCATTTTACCAACACAGGTTGCCTAATCAACATAAATACAAAAATTATTTTACCAATTAAGATGAAAACTTAGTAATTTTAATAATTTATGTAGTCAGTTGTAAATTAGAAATAAATAAAAAATATTTAGCTGATACAATATGATTATAAGCATGACATTGAAAATGTTTATAACTTTGTTTATAACTAAAGCAAATATAATTATTTTCTTATTTAACAAAAAAAGATGATACATAAGTTATCCGATTTTTCTTCTTATTCCCTTAATCAATTAATGTACTAATACGTATTCTACTCACACTGAATTATGCAATAATTAATTAAAATAAAAAAAATTCATATTCAAGGTTCATATAACTTAGATTGTTCTCATATGTATAATGTTCACTATGTTTACAAATGTAAATAAATGGAAACCAGCGAAAAAATTATAAAACACCATTGTTAAAAATAATAAACATTTACCTCAAGCACCTCCATGGTAATTGGTAGTTGATCAAGGGTTAGAATAACTTCAAACACTGAAGACATATCAGTAACCTAGAGCAGTAAATGTATATGAATAATTTGTTCAATTTACATACATATATTTTTAAACATTATAATTCATATAATTTTACAAAGTAGAAATAACCTATTTTTTTTTCTAAAACGATAAATTATTATTGGATGGTGCTAATTGTATTAAATAAATCTATATTTTATTGATTAATACATATATATATTTATATATATAATAATTAAACATAATTATATACATTATAGAGGTGTTTCAAAATCAATATTTCATAGTTTATTTCATAAAATAAAACACTAAATTATTTGTTATAATTTTTATTTAGATTGCAAGCTAATTTATTTTATTAAACAAATTAAAAAATTATATCAGCATAGATATGATTTGATTTAAGTTTTAATAGACTAAGTAAACTCTTATTTTGTATATTAAAAAAAGAATCTTTAGTTATATAAACTAGGTTATTTGTATTTAAATATAAAATACTAAAAATTCATAATTCATACATTTCAAAGTTTATAATCAAACCAAATATTATTGTTTATCAAGTTCAAAAAATCAGTATAATTACTATTCCATCTTATCATGAACATATTATACAATACGATTCTTAAATATTAAAATATGTGGTAATTTATAGCATTATGTAAATATAATATAACTCAGGAATTATATTATATATGAAAATAGCTAAAATAGGAAAAAAAGTAAAGAAAATAAAAAAATAAATATCTTAATGACAATTGATTTTATGAGATTTATTATTTTAAAAACACTGTTTCTTTTACCTTTTATTTTTGTAATTGACCAAAAATGAAATTAATATTACATGAATATAATTTTACATCTTCAATAAGAAGATAATAAAACAGATTTAATTTTGGCCATTTTATCACAAACGAAGATAATAGAAGATTTTCAACTCATTTACAATTTTTATAACAACCACAAGACCTATGTTTAGTTCGATATTTTCCACGATTATCTAATATACAAAATTATAGAAAAAAAACAAAAACAACTTAAAATGTAAACATAATATTAAAAATAGTTTATAAAAATAAAAACTTCTGTCTAGATACATTTATATTATATCATATTTTTATGTTTTTTTTTTTTAACTTACCAAATTTACTTTCAACATATTGATCATTTTTTTTTTTAATCACTAATATTTATTGAAGTTTTGAATACTGCTTTCTATGAAACATCTTCTGCCTTACATTTCTAAAATAATATATAAAGATTTTTAACAATGCAAGGATTTTTTTTAAGTTTTAAATCAAATAATATGGTGCATGGACATACATCACAATAATAATGTTTAATAAGCTTAGACTGTTTTTTTGTAATTCCAATACAATCACTATGATACCAATCTTCAATTGCAACACTTTCACTATAAATTATAAAATAAAATGTAATTAATGTATGATAATTTAATAAAAAATATTATATATCAAATTATTTTCATTGTATTTTAATGAATTGGACACTAATATATTTTATAAATTACAGTGTAAGATACGGCAAGAATTATGAGGACTGAGAATAGCATTATTCTTAATCTTTTTTATCTATATATTTGATTAAAGTCATCATGATAAAAATTTTAAATTTTAAAATGATTATTAGAAATTAATTTTGAATTTTCAAGTTAGTATTTTAATATTACAATTAATTAATCACTTAATTAGCATTAATATGTTTCACTATATATTAATACGTTTACTTTCATCAAAGTATTAAACTAAACTATTTGGTTTTATAAATAAAGTATTCATAGCAAATGTAGCATCATGGTTGACAGAAAATTTAACAATTACATTTATATTCCTAGATATTAATTAAAATAAAAACTTAAATTATGATATGAAAAGAATGTTTATAAATGTATTCTAGTCATTGTTGAGTAAAATAATGTAAGGTCTCTACATGGAAATTTAACCATCAATAATAAAAGCAAAAGATTCCAAATTAAAATATTCTAGGTTAAAACATAATTGAATTACATCATAAATCTAGAGATTTCTGATAATCTACAAGTACAAAAGGCTTGTCCGTGTTGTTTAAGTAATGTTGCAATTTTTGATTTACGCTCCGGAAGCATAAATTGCTTGACTATTTCTTCTTTCTGTGAAATAATAAACATAACTTATCATGAACTGTTTATCAATAAACAGTTTATTAATACTTACAGAAAGTCGCGTCATATTTATAATACTAGTAACTAATTATAAATCATAATGAATATATTATGCCTTGTTATACAAAATATTGTCCTTGACTGTAATTGTTTCTATAGGTAGATATTTTATCAAATATCAAAATAATTAATTGTAAGATTTACAGTTTATATGCTGATTTTTTAAGCTTTTTTATCAAATTAAAACCTTAGAGTTTATCGCGTAGGAATGAACATAGAACAAATTGGGATTACAAGGGATCTTATCACTTATCAGTTTAAAATTTGAATTATAATCATGAACAAAGATAATAGAGGACTAGAAACCATTGAACTATATGATAATCATATAGTTATCATATAGTTCAATGCTAGAAACACGAACGGTTATTCGCAGGAAAAATGTTTTGTACATATCATTATCAATATAATAAACAACCATGGTAATAACCACGATATCGGTTATGATTAAGTCTTATCACGGAAAGATTACACAGATATTAATCTGAATCACAGACTTCTATACTAAACTTCTAAACTAATAGACTTCTATACTTCTATACTAGTATACGAGTATAACACCTATCTGTGCTTTGAAAGTTTCGCTTGTGTTTTATCTAATTTTTCACTAAGTATGGACTGGGTCTTCAATCAAAATAATATATATTATTTATCGGTATGGGACGTACAAACGTTATAAGCAATTGAGCGTTTAACGCTATAAATAATTTAAACGTTATTCAATTCAAGCGCTTAAACGTTGTATAAATTTAAACGTTTAAAAAATTTTCCGTTTACCGTTATTGCAAATTAAAACATTATAAAAAATTTAACGTTTTGTGTTATTTAAATTAGTGTAAAATTTGAAACGTTTTCAAATGTAGTAATACTATGAAATAAATTATAATTTTTGTTTCTTAATAAAGTACCCATTACTTATATAACCTCCCTAAAGCCTGGCCCACCTGGTATTAAAATTCTGGCGCCGCCACTGGTTGGAACGCAAAAAATATACTGCACATGCTCCCACCAGTTCTATGATAGTGTAACCGGATGATAGAACAAACCTAATATATTTGTTACAGTTGTAATTTTATAAAAAAGGAGAGGAATTCCTAAGTGCGTATAAATCAGAATTTATTATGCGCATCCATCGACAGTTACCACTTGGCACTTGATCACAGTCACTTGCGTAATTTGTGAAAAGTAAAAAATTATTTTCTCCGGAGAAGTTTTATTGTAATTTTTAAAATTAAGATGCAGTTTTTTTTTATTTTATTCTTGACTACGACATTTATCGTTACGACGGCCGTTAGCGATAACTCGAAACATTTGCAAGAATCGTCCTACAGAAATCGATGGCATAAGTCAATCGCTACATTTCCGAGGCTTAAGAGCGAAACAATATGGAATGGGAGTCATCAGCAAAATCGCAACAATGGTAAGTCGACCGTCAAGGCGACAACGATTTCGAAAAAGATTTTAAAACATCATAGGACACCAGGCTATAAAGAGGTGACTTTGAGAATGGATAATATATTTCAAAACAACTTTAACAATCGCAAGGTCCCCAACATAACAACTGCAAGAGTAATCAAGCCTCGAGTATTACGTTGCCCTAATGGATTTGTTCGTAATAACAAAAACGAATGCGTTGGTAAGTATTCGATTTAAGTATGAGTATAAGGAATCATATACTCAAGACTAAGAATAAGAAACGCATGAAAATAATTTTGAATTTGTACATTATCCATCCGCAGTGAATAATTACAACTCAATAAATATATGATAGATAATCTATGTTTATAAAGTTTAAGTTTTGTTATATTATGTTTTTAGAAAAGCATAGATGGTTTAAATTTTATTAATTATTTTGTAAATAAAAGTTGAATGATAATCCAAATAAATATGAGTAATTTTTAATTCATCAGGGCTTGCTACCAATGTCGTAACTAGGGTGGGGTAAAGTATGCGAAAATATTAGCACCGAGATAAAATTAAGAGTAAAATAGTTTGTAAAAAAATCCTTATTACATTGAAATCAGTAAAAAAAATCACTATAGTTGAGTCTCATCAGTTCACTTTAAAATAACGTAAATATGATTTTGATGAACGGTCATGGCGGACACGAACTTCCGCCACCAAATGTTAAATTAATGGTTAGAACGGGTCCGCTTGTTACTTATCGTTCGATTGTTATAGTGTTTAAACTAGGCCGTAATGATTAAAAAAATAAAAAAATAAATACGTTTAATCAATAATACCTATATGTACAGTTTCTATAGGAAACTAAACGATTTCAGTGATTAAACTAATAACTGTAGTAGGTATCATTAATAACATTTTACTGGACGGTGAAAAATACTGTTCAAAACCGAAATTTCTTAATTTGCTATGGCGAATCAGAACGTACATGTAAACTTTACTGAGAACCGGAACGGGTTGTCCGAAGAATCGTCCACTGACCTTGACGGACGCTTGGTACTCGACGATCACGGGTCTGCCGGAACGAGCGCAGACACGCCAGGCGACAGTTGCGGTCGTCGTCGGCGCAGTTCGTGCGGCAGCAGATCGCGAAGTCGATCGGCCAGTCGCCGCAAGAGGAACCGAAGTGGATGCCGGTCCAGAAGGCGTCGTAGCTCTAGACCGAGATCTTGCGCACCGAAACGCCGACGGAGCCGGAGTTCCTGCGCGCCGAAACGCCGACGGAAACATTCGCGCCCGACCAATCGCTGCGCTCTGATTCCGACCGGGACGGTCGCAGGAGGCACTGGCGACGACCGCGGTGTGACCACGGGATCTTACCAGTCCGACGACGTGGAGGCGGCTGGAACCAGTGGAGCACGGAGCGGGTCGCGCGGTCGCCGTCGTTTGGCCCAGTCGCCCGTAAGCTCGTCGGTCAACGGTCATCCCTCCGAAACGGTTAACCGCTCTACCGCCACGCCGATGACGGACAGCCGGGGTGGCTGCAGGTCTCGGGTAGTGGCCGCCAAAGCCCCCGAGGCTCGACGGCAGTCCGATACCAGGCGGAAGAAACGATAAAAGGGTTTATGTAACGCGGTAACGTTGACGTAACGTATAAGAAGTAAATAATTATATTTAAAATGTTATAATACTGTTGGAGAACTTTTTGGTTTACCGGTCCAGTTCGAAACTTGAATTATATCTCAAATGACGTATTCGAAATATAATAAAAAACATTTAATATTGAAATGGAAATTTCAAGTGACCGGAAAAACATGTACGAACACACATCCGACCCTTACCGTAGTTGTAATATTCAAAAAAATCATACAAATTCTTCAAGCATTTTTTTTTTTTGTCGGTTAAAGACTTATTTTTATAAAGCCAGATTACTTATTTTTATAAGTCTTACATAATATGTATTAATATGTATTAAATGTCTTCTTTTATATTTCGAGTACGTCGTTCGAGATATAATTCTAGTTTCGAACTGGGCCGGTAAACCAAAAAGTTCTCCAGTAGTATTATAACATTTTAAATATAATTATTTACTTCTAAAAAAAAAAAAAAGATATAAATAAAATTGCTATTAGTTTCCAACCTAGTATTTTATTTGAATTGAAATTATATGTGTTGAAAAAAATACAATTAGTTGTGTATAAGATACATTTTTAAATTTGTTGGTTAAAATCGGTCTTCATTATTATATTTGCTCGAACCGATGTGATGATTTTTTAATAAAATCATTTAATTTTAATATAAATATAATATATATGATATAAGTTATTATATAATTGCATCAATTATAATTTTTAATTATAGTTATAAACATAAGGCGTTTGACAAGTTTGAAATCAGAAAAACTTGAATGAAACAGGATAGCGGAGAGTTTAAATTTCTTATTAAAGCACCCACTTAGTTTTAATGCAGTCTACCCAGAAATATCGATATATCACCAAATCAAAAAGTTTCAATACTCAATTAGTAATTATCACAAGTAGTTTTTAATGCGCATTTATATAAATTCGTAAACAAGTAGTTTTTAATGAGCATGTATATACATCGCATTATTATTTATTGGTAAGTTCAAATTGATCACGCAATCAATAACTTTCAAACGACCTAGAGGCAAAAATAAAAGTAAACCAAAGCACAATACATACATTGTATTGATTTAATTAAAAATCATACTATTTATAAAAAAAAATAAACAATTTTAGAAGTCGCAGTACTGTTTAAATTAGTAAAATATATTCTTAAAAGTGAATAAATCTTTAAAAACAGCTGACAGTTCTTTTTTCCATTTGAAATATAATTACTTATGTATATTGTAACCTAGGTGGTCCTTAATTATAGGTGAAAAAAAAAGGAAAAATATTTTTGATTTTGCACCCCCTCATTTTGTTCATTATTATGAGAAAGCTATTTGAGTTAAATTTGGTCATGATTAGTAGTACTCTTTACGTGCCTCAAGGGGGTTAAATAACTGCAAAATAGGGTTAATTTGTCGTGTTTTTTTTTAGTATAATTAATGAAATATAAAATTAATATTATAAAATATAGCTTAAGTTATAAAAATTTATATTTTTAATAAAAAACATTTTTATACAATTTTTCATAGATCTATTATTTCTTAAGAAAAATTATAAAATATTTTATTTATTTTAAAAAATTGATTATTTTACGGTTTCTTATGTATATCAGAATAACGGTTGATGATGCGTCAAAATATCCTACATAAGAATGACAGAAAACTAAATTTTCTAAAAAACAGTTAATAAATATAAATTGCATTGGATTGTTTTATTGCAAGAATCATAAAAACGTTGTTTAGTATTCTATAGTTAATATTAGATAATAATTGATCGATAATGATTTAATATACAAACACAACACTTAGTTAATTTGATACAAGGCATTGTCATTACTTTATAACTAGATAAGAGAATTTAATAAATTATTGTTGCTGTTATGATAAATGAATTTTTATGTTCAATAATCAATTTAATTGATTAAAATCAACTGTTTTTATTTTAGGCCTAATTGAAGTTACGATTGTTTTATTAGAACAATGGTTAGAAAAAACATTTTATATTTTTCTTGTTGCCATCATACATACGAAATTATATTTACGATTTATATTTGACGTAAAATTTAATGCAGCTTCCAGTCCAAATATGTCCATATTTCATCGTTTTCAAAATGTTTGGGCAAAAATAAATAGTCAAAATTATAGGTCCGGTAAGAATCCATTAACTTGTGAAAAATTACAAAATTCTATTGAAAACATTTTAGAGTTTTGATTAAATCAATTAAAATTAACTAATTTTAAAAAAGATTATAAGGAATTTTTGAGATTACTATTCTTATATTTTCATCTTCGATTCACAATTTGTATAATTAGTTTATACAAAGTCTGATTTAATGCACCAATTGCTACTTATTCCCCTTGGCAAGATTTAGAATTTTTTAAAAAAAATATCTACGAATACATAACTATAAATGAACAAATATCTAAAAATATTTGTAAAAAGATTTGTTAACTATTTATGGTATTTAACTTCCGAAAATATTGCTCTAGCATTTTTTGATAAACATATACTTTACGATACAAAAACTAAAATAGCACTTAACATTAAAAAAGTTGACAGTGAAATATAAATGGAGATGATAAATGATAAATAAACATATAATTTTAAATTTCAATGAAGTAGTAGATTTTATAAAAAACAGATAAAAAATTGATCAAGAAAGACTACATTTTTTTGAACGATTTAGTATCAATTATGGTTTACTAGAAACAGACTTATCTATCTACATAGGAAATTAATTATTGCAGAGGTCTAGGTACAGATAAAAATCTAAAAGTTATGAATGATACTGCAGAACGTGCAGTCAAGTTAGTGGAGGACTAAAATATAGGATCTAAAATCGAAGACCAAAAAGAGTATATGTTTTAAGTTGTTGCACAATATCAACGATAATTCCCCAACAGCAAACAAGTTACACCAATGGGATTAATGTATTATTTACATTATACTTTATATTAGTTTTCTATTTATATTTTTGACAACTGTTCAGACCTGGATTAAGGCATAAGTAGTGTAGGCTGCAGTCCACACAACCATGGATTTAGGGGCACCGCATACTGTCCTGATGTTATTTTTATTAAAATATCTGATATATGAAATAGGTAGTAAATTAAAGCCGGTATCATATTGCATCGACGCGTTTTGTCGTGTGGCCTATAGATTTATCGACAAACGTGTTCCATTTTAAACTGTTTATTTTTTCCGTAAACCGTTTTCGCGCACCAACTCCGGTGTGTTTAGTCGCAGACCGCCATAACTATGTACGATAACTGTTGGTCTAGTCAGTCTGTTACTTGTCGCCTATTTACATGTATTTTTGTACACGCGTCGCGCGCATCAAAAAATCGTCTTTACGTTATTATAAATAATTGTAATTTGTAATAAAGTGTTTATACGCTAGCGCGAGTAGTACTACGTTTTATATATTGTTCTATGTTCGACATTTACCTAGAAATAGACCAGAAACGTTGACGATTGTGTCGCACAAGGAAAAAAACGTGCAAACGAAAAAAAAAAAGAAAAATAAGTGATTTCATTCAATAAAATACCTACATTAAATAATTATTTCAACCGAATAAATAACATTGCCCCGAGTTGTATTGAAGATAATAAACTAGAATCTTCAAATGATATAACTCTTACTAATCATTGTTCTACTTATATTCAATGTACTGCGTCTTTCTTAGATCAATCAGTTATTGAAGTTAAATGACAATTCAGAAAAATCCGAGCTAAATTTCAGGTCACTAGAAATTATTCCTAATTGTCCTTCGCAGAATAATATAAATAATTTTATAGATCCAACAGATTTGATAAGTAATAATATACATCGCAACTATATTGCGAAATTGGGATATGATCAAAATATAGATGCAGATTTCACTTTATCAGAACGAAGTTATTCTGATTTTGATCTTTATTGTAGTAAATCATTTTTTACAAAAACCGAAAAAACGGAGAAAATGTTTCGCGCAAATGATTGTTTATACAATATACAGCATGTCCCATAAGTCCCGTATCACCCTTAATATCTCCACAGGAAATCAATATATTTAAACGCGGTTTTTTTTACAATACTTAGTATAGAAATTTTGATTGAATGACATAAAATTCAATTTTTTTTTAAAAAAATTCAAAAATTCAAAAAATTATTTTTTATTCATTTAAGAATTTTCCATTTTTAAGATAGCCATTTTTTTGAGCATATTTTTTTAAAACAGTTCAAAAAAAATATATTAAAATTTAATAAAAATTAACCAAGTTAGAGCAAGTTATTTTTGAAACAAATTTTGTTCTCGTGCACAACGAACACGCTCACTCGGCGTGTGCGTGTTCCTGTGCAGATGCGCCTTTATATTGTTAAAGTTTTAAATAAGATATCGATTTGATAAGAATTGAAAGCTTTTAATAATGTTTAATAATAACCGAACGTGGTAGTCGATTAGGAAGAGGGGCATTCTAAAGTCCGTAGATATTAGAATTCGTTATACGCTCCGATCGGTAGTCACCACTTTGAACGCGGTCACTTACGTAATCCGTGTGAAGTAGATAGTCATTGTTTCCGATGAATTTTCGTTTTACTTGTTGCAATTAAGATGCGGTTTATTTTTATTTTGTTCTTGTCCATGGCATTCATCGTTACGACGGCCGTTTGCGTCGATTCGAAACATTTGCAAGGTTTCACCTATAGAAGTCGATTGTACGAGACCATAGTTCCGAAAGATTCACAGAGAAAAACGATATGGAGCTGGGGCTGGAGCAATCAGAAAAATCACAATAGCGACACATCAAAAGTCACTCCGACAACGAATTCAAAAAATAGTTCCGTAAGTACTCCGACACCGAGCTTCAAGGAGGCGAGTTTGAGAACCACCGAAAACATTAACAACCATATTGAGATCAGCACTAGGCACTTAGAACTTGAACAAACACTCATTGCACCGCGAAAGTTCAAAAGTTGCCCAAATGGACTCGTCCGTAACAACAGAAACGTATGCGTCGATTACACCGACAGTGATAAATAGGACAAAAGTAGTGAAATTGATTGCAGTATTAATACTAAAATATACCGAAAATTGTGCTTTATAATATCTTAATTGCACTGAAAAAATAACGTTTATTTTTATCTGTCATTAACTTATTGTAATTTATATATTGTATATATATACATATATTACTGACTCACTAGTTACAATTTATAGAAAAACGTGTACATAAAATACATATTACTAAAAAATTTGTTGTATTGAATTGTAAGTTATTTTTTAAATATTCAAAATCCAATGTCCTTCGGTTTCGACCTAGTATCTCGAACAACTTTGTTCTACGTCGGTTGATGTAAGCGGAACGTACTTTAAATAAATTAAATCGCTTACCATAAAGTTTTCGGGTAAACCATCCTACAGTTTTCTTTCTCCAGTCAATATATCATTTATTTTACTTACGGTTTCACATCCAGCATTTTTATAACTTAAATAAACTTTTCATGGACTGATATTCC